ACATCTTGTGATTGGTTGATCGTATATAAGGCTTAGCCTGTTTCTCCTTGTGATTGGTGGTCACGAGCAGAGCTTCCATCGATACGGTGTGCGTTTTTATCTTTTCTGCCAGTGTAGATTTATATGTTTGTTTCAAGAACACAGAATGATGAGAGAGACAACAGCTTTTTATGTTTTTGTTTTTGTTTCTTTTTGCACAATCTCATGCTTACGATAGTAGGCCTAATAATTTTACATTTAGCATGACCAGAAAGGGTTACGTATGGAAACCGGACGACAATCCATTAATGACGTTGAAGACAGGGCGCCATCTGTTGCACCCTTTCCGACTGTTCATTCAATTATCATTCAGATACCAGTAAATGCGAGCATGGGCGTCGATCGGTGGGGGACAGGGGGACACGTCACCCCCACTTTTCAAAGTAGGGGGACATCATAACGATTGTCCCCCACTTTTCACCAATCTTCTATAATTAAAACCCCACTTCTTTTAAAAGTGTATGGAAAGAATAACAATTATGCATGACGCATGAATTTTGCCTGTTCACTTTTCCAAGTGCGGTACGTATTTTCCGGACCAAAACTGAGTAAAAACGCAATTGTTTATACATTTCATAACCATCTCAGAAACACTAGATAGATTTCATGGGTGCAGCGGTTATCAGAGGCTAAATTTATTGTGAAAAGAATGTACTTAACGTTGTTAAAAATTGGAAGAGTATACTTGTTAGGCCAATGCTTTTACAAACTCAAAATTGCACAATTTCTACTATAAACGATTTATTCCTTTTGTGTATTACGGTATTATGACCCGTACGTATATACTAAAGTGTTTAATATTATCTACGTATATAGGATTACTGTTTTTCATAATTGAAAAAAAAAAAAATTATAGTTAGTCAACTGAATTTTATATAGGCCTTACCCATTATTAAACAATAATTATACAGCCTTTGACACGGACATGTTTATCTCGATTTAGTGATACCAAAATTTTACTCCAGTGTTCCGTTGACGCACTCTCGCAATGACGTCATAATAATCAGTGTCGAATTCAAGTGGGGTCGAGCCAATCCTAAATTTTTCAAAATTATTATTTTTTTAAATTGAAAAAACAAAAGCAAATTTATTTAAAAAAAAAATAAATAAATAAATTTAAAATCAATAACTTTGGCCAGACTTACTGCAGCATCCAGCAGGGAAGCAACAACTGAGGTAGTGCCAACACCGACAGTAGTTCTTACTACCAGACCCAGCAGTGAAACACCAGCAACACCCACAATTGTTCCTACTAAAGGACCCAGCAGTGAAACAGACTGGGTGTCAACACCCACAGTTGTTCCTTCCACGGGACCCAACAGTAAAACAACATCCAAGGTAGTACTATTACTAACACCCACAGTCGGTTCTACAGGACCGAGAAGTGAAGCAACATCCGAAGTTGTGTCAACTATTGTAGCATCCAGATTCTGTGGAAACGAACTGCTTTAACAGCCAATACTCAAATACAGTGGATATCCAGCCATATTCAGGTGATGTTTGCTAATTTTTTAGAAACGTTCATTATCACTTTATGCACTATTTTAGCAGAATAATCCAATGATAGGTGTATACATAACATGCACACACATACATACATACATACATACATGCATACATGCATACATGCATACATGCATACACGCATACACGCATACACGCATACACGCATACACGCATACACGCATACACGCATACACGCATACACGCATACACGCATACACGCATACACGCATACACGCATACACGCATACACGCATACACGCATACACGCATACACGCATACACGCATACACGCATACACGCATACACGCATACACGCATACACGCATACACGCATACACGCATACACGCATACAAACATGCACACACATACATACATACATACATATATACATACATACATACAAAACTGTTCCTCCATCTGACACTTTAGTATCTTGGGAGTCAGCTTCATCATCAATACAGTTGTTGAAGAAAACTAGATTAATATTATTATTATTAAATGGTAAGTCAACCAACCTATATTATCATCGTATGGTTTACTTCTTTAAATGTATCGTCCTAATGAAATGTACCTAACTGAAGTGTTTCTCAATACCGAATTTAATATTAAATAAACGTTTATGAATTTAGGCCTGTTTCTGTGAAATATTTACAGTGGCAATTATTTAAAAAATTATTTTTGCGATGCACATAATTAATAGCGCACAAGGGTAAAACTCTGTCCATGTGCTTTTATTCTATGATACTAATGTGGTATACCCATATTTGGATGCATATATTGGCTCATGGCACATCACACAAAGTTGTCACATTTCATAGTGTGGATAGAGCATAAGAAAGAACATTCCGACGTTACACGTTCACACGACCATTGTTAGGTTTGATCACCACTCATTGTAAGGTGTAATACATACCGGTACTCAAAGTATTGAAATGCACGCCATCGTGTCGGGATTCAATATTTCGACATTAATTATGGCATCATCGTTCCTGATAATTAATGTCGAAATAGTGAATCCCGACACGATGGGGTGCATTTCGATACTTGGAGTATGTATTATGGTTCTTTATTTAATTAGTATTTATTTGTTTATTTCACACTCTCAAATAAAACTGAGACTAGCTTATGAGTGAACAACAGGACCTATAAAAAAACATGCAAAATACTTTATACTATCTTATATGAGATTAATCAATGGACCTTTCACTCATTGTAACTTACTATTAATTATCCTATTGCCAATTCTTTTGATATGAATAATTGAATAGAAATACACCGAATACAATCACTTGTTCAGGTTGTTATGTTGGAGTAAGTACTGCTGCTGTGTGCCGGCGTCATCGTTCAGCGCTTCATCGGGGCAAAAACTTGCTGACTTTGCGCGACTTGGTTGCCAGCAATCTGCTGAGGATGGATACAGGAAACCTGGGTGCACAAAACGTAACGACGTCGAGTATTAACTCAATTGTTTCGTTCAAATTCGAAAGAAGGTAATTAATTTCACTTTTTGTGTATGAGGGTACAGCACCAGTACTCGACGAACACACGTGAACTAAGCGATCAAAGTGATACTCCTTTTGGCATTTGAAAGACGAGGCTAAATCATCCCTGAAGAAATTCTTTTTAAATAGACCTACGTCATCATACTCAAAACTGAACGCGGTAATGCTGGTAGACCCTAAAAATTAGTTTGATAGAATCTTCAACTGCAAGAGCGTAATAGTTTTGCTCAGCAAATTTCCCCGAGGTGAGGGACGCAAGTTTATTTTTCTTTACTGCATATACTTCTTATTTCATTAAATTAATATGACAATCAGTAAATCGAGTACTATTATTACAATATTATTAACTAATTAAATTATGATGTATTACAGGTAGACCTTTTAACACTGACTACTGTGTACGGCATTATAACGCAAGGGGGGGGGGGTCTAAGATTCAGTCAACGATTGCCCTGACATGATGCATGGCGACAGCAGTGGGCTGATGTACTACACAAGTCTATTTGAAGTCTCTAGGGCTCTTCAAATAGTGACGTCATCCTGGACAAGTTTTCTAAACCCTTCAGTAACCATGGACGACGTAATTCAAACTAGTTGTTTTTTAGAAAAGGGAATATCATAATTTAATTGTAATTATTATGAATATGATTAATATAGTTATGATTATTATGAAATAATAATGATAAATATTAATTATTATAATTATCATAATTATAGCAACAATAGGAATAGCGATCCAATAACAATAGTAGTCTGTCTCTTATACACATCTAGATGTGTATAAGAGACATGGTTCTCGGGCCATGAAATCATTAAATACCCTACGGGTGCATATCATAACGTTTGTAAATAGTCCATCTCTGCGCTTTGAACTAGTGAACTTCCGGTGAAGGAGGCGGTTGTGAGAGTAGCCAAGAGGACTAAGAAATAAAATCATGAAAATCTGGTTGTAGTGATCTCGCAATTTTACGAAAAATTCAGTTACGACTTTTCGTATATTTCCACTATTTCCAAGTAAATAATATGTTGTTATTTTTATAACTGTTTGATGTCAGCGATGTATTGAATCGAATGTGCTCATTTTGACCATATGGAATTGCTGTATTAAGCCGCTGAATCGAACGTGGTTGTAGAGTATATACTACTACTACTAATAATAATAATAATTATTATATATTTTCATTATTGCTTGGTTAGATTTCTCTTCTATTCTTATGGAATAAATCCTATCAGATACTTCGATTTTGTAAGCCTATACTTATTAAATTTTTTTTTCCTTTAGCATTTACGAACGAAACGTGTTGGGAAACAAAAATAAACGTTGATCACTAAATGCTGATGTCATTTTATTCTCTTCTCTTGATCTAATTGTTTTTCTGTTCGTTTAAAATAAACATGATTTGCATTAGTACCGGTATCTTAGCTATTATTTAATTTTAAAAAAATATTGTTGGTAATAACTTTTGTTTGCCTTTTTAGAAAGTTAGACCCATTCTATAATTTGATTCACTTCACTTAATGGGAATACATCTCAATGATTTCGTTATCTTCTGAATGAGACAAATATGAATTAAATGAAAACGAACGAATGCGAATTTGTAGTCGAGTTGATTTGTTGGAGCCGAGAGTCACTGTTATTGGTAGGCCTATAGCATTATCTATTAATGCAAAATAAGCGTTATAGGCACTGTGTTTCACTACGTTATAAATAGTTTCTTGTAATTGAAACGATGGGGGCGCCACCGATTCTCTTGCAAGTTTTTTAAGCATGAACTGCTTTGTTTTGTTGTTTATCATTGTATCCGGATATTGGGAACAAAGGTAAACCTCCACTCTATTATTTTGCTTCTACTCAACCATTGAGTGATACTGCAATAGGAGTTTTTCAATTACTCTATCAAGATTAAGTTATGTAGTTTAATTATTTAGCAGGCTAGCCTAGTAGTGTTAGGCCTAGACTAGTAGTAGTAGTAGGCCTAGTAGTAGTAGAGAATCATGGGTTGGCCCTAGGCTACTACTAGGCTAGGCCTAGTACTAGGCTAGTACTACTACTAGTCTAGCTAGGAGGCCCTCCTCAGGCTGAGCAGGCAGAGAGGCACTTGGCCAGGCTAGGCCTAGCATAGTGAGGTAGGCCTACGCCTTGTTTTCTCCATAATATGACTACGACCTACCTAGATGATTGGCACCGTCCATGCAGAGGGTGGAGGGTGGAGTGTGCTAAGCAGCGGTACACACCCACCTCAGCCCACCATGATGGTTGGGGCTGAGCTCTAATTATCTGAAGAACCCTCAGTCCCAGGGGTGGGCGTGGTAGAGTGTTACCTAGTTATGAGTTAGGGCCTAGATCAACCACTTTGATCAAGAGAATGCCATTTCGAGTGGATGCATTTAGTGCGAACAATAGGGCGCATTGATCATCGCCCTATTCTTGTATTTGTGAGTGAAATACTGTAGTACTTTCGTTTACTTTAAGTGCGAAAATGCTCTGTGCACTAAAGTTCTGGTTTTTTTTTTTTTTATTCCATGTTTGAATTACATTCTTGGCAAATCTAACTACCAGATAACTGATAACAATAACTTAAGCCTATATTTTAAAACTATGGGATTGCGCATATTTCATTCTGAATTCACAGTTTTTTTTATCTCCGATTGGGGTTTTGTATTTAAAAAAGCAAATTATATTTGTAATTGAATTATGTTGTAATTGTATTTGTAGGCCCTAAATTTGCGATTTGTATTTTTAAATCGGAGTAACTGTAATTGTAGTTGTTATTCACCATAGAAAATTATGTTTACATATCTAGGTGTCAGAAGGTGCACAAATCATTGGTGTAGTGTGGCAAGACTATCAACAGTACAGTAATAATGACTTGATAACATCATTATCAATTTTCCCCACAATTAACCATTCGTCTATACAGTTCAAAACCCCTTTCTTAAAGCGAGTGGAAAGAATAACGATTACGAATGACTAAGATAAGAAAATAATTATTTTTATGAGCGTAGTTATGTTTAATTTTAAATTTTTAAGATAAAAAATAATTAAATACAATATGTGATTATTCTTTTCATTAACCATGTATAAAAGTAAATATAAAAAAAGCAGTAGCCCTATGTTTCCCAAACTATAGGCCATGACCCTAATTTGGGTTGCCAGTTTGTTTCAGTGACTTGTGAAAAAATATGAGAAAAATCTGATAATGTAATTTCCAGCCATCTTCTAAATTTCAAATGAAGTTGATAAGATCATACTCAAAAACACAAACCAAAAAAGTGATTTCACCAAACTAATTCGGACTGTATTGACAATCAGTTGAGCATACATAATTTAGTGTAAAAAAACCGCCCCTTTTCCCCCAGTTTTTAAATATTCAAAAATCTGTGTCTCATTCACTATTCCCCAGTTTTTCTGTATTAGAAAAATCAGTGCTACAGCATATCAAAAATTTGTTTTCCTCCGGAACCTGACTTTCAGGGATAATTTGCGTCGCTCATTTTTTTTTTTCTTCTTCTAGGACAGCAAGTAGATTGGAGTGCAATGGATTTAGATGTATTCCAATATCATTGTATAATGTAATTAAACTGCAAGCACCCTCTATGTAGATGCATCTAAAGGATACATGGATACAGTATGCATCTCAAATGAAAACTGAAATTGAAGCACAAGATTTTGTAAGGAGGCCGAAGTACTTTGTTGCCTCATAAGAGCAGCTCATTCATTATTCAAAATCTCAAACCTCGAGCACATGTCAATATGATTCAGCTCAAATTTGATAACAGATATCAGATTTTGAATCAATCCTAGATATTATAAATGATGTTAAAGTACACCATGAGGTTTGCTTTTTGGTTAAAATGTATTATCGCTATTTTGATGATGGTAGGATCTTACCAGATGGAGACTTCTGAATCAGTTCATAGATGTATACATGATGAAGTTCAAAGTTTGCAGATCCAAAGGATAATCATTAACTATGCAGATTTCTTACGAGATAAGCGATCAGTGACTTCTTTGTACAAACCTTTGCGAATAATGCCATACTATTATGACCTTAGTAATTTGGAATCAGATAATCAAGAAAAAGTGAAAATTATAGTGAAAAAAGCAGTTAACGTAATTCAGCATGTCTTGTCAGGTAAAAAAGCTTATTAACAAAATATTTTAGAAACTAGATTTGAACTCGTCACTGAGGACAAGTTAGGTGATCCGCTTGTCATGCAAAAGAAATCTTGCAGCGCTTAAAAGTGAAATATGGAAAAATAAGATTTAAAGAAAGAGGTGGGGAGAGGTTAGAAAAACATTCATTTTGACCATAATGACGTCCAAAGTGAAAAATGATTAAACAATGAGAAAGGAAATTGTCTCAGCTATAACATGCTCGAAGGTGGGAGACGATCGATCAATAAAGCGAGATAGGTTAAAAAAAAAGGTTCAAAAAAATAAATCAAAATTTGTTTTTTAAAATTAAGATGGCAATATGATCATGTCACAATGTCTGATTAGCCAAAATGATCTATAAAATCATATCTACAACTCATGTTCTTTCAGAATTTGTAATAAAAATTGGGGGTCACCTTTCATCCTAAGGAGCTATAACTGATTAAAAATAGGCATGATTTTAAGCATATTTTAATTTTGACGCACACGTACGCGCACATTATTACGCGCACACAGAAAGTTAAGGTACATGACATCCAACCTTGACCTGAATTTTGTGCCCATTGAATGTGATGATATGGGGTCATCAAAGATTTGAAGAAAGAAAGATGAGGGGGGGGGGCCCAGAAAAAAACATTTATTTTTACCATGATGACGTCATCAAAATGTAAGAAAAGTCACATTTATGAAAGGTAATTGTCTCAACTATAACTTACTCAAAATTGGAAGGTGATCGATCAAGGATAAGCGAGATACACTCATATGCGTATTTTTCAAAATGACGTCATAGATAAAATTCAGTTTTGTTGAATTCAGATGGGAATATGATAACGTCACAATGTCCGATCAGCCATTATGATCTATAAAATCATATCTACAACTCGTGTGCTTTCAGAATATGTAATAAAAATTGGGGGTCACCTTTCGTCCTAAGAAGCTATTAGTAACTGATTAAAAATAGGCCTGATTTTAGCATATATTTTTACTGTATGTTGGCACAAACGCGTGCAAAGATCCCTATGTCTGATGCGCACTTACGGCATTGCTATTGGCCATAAGATGACTGAAAAAAAAATGGAAATTTGTGAATACAATGTCAAGAACCCAAAATATGTAAAAAAAATGAAATTTCTAGCTTCCATTCATGCTGCGCTCGTAAAAATGCATGCGCATAGTGGAAAATGTCAAAAAATTTTGAAATGCTCAAAATGGCCTAAAACGTGCTTTAGTCAAAAGTTATTTTGAGCATTTGAAAATTTTGAAGCATGCGTGTCCGCGCGTTAAGTCGTGCATGTGAAATATTTCGGTACATGACATTCAACCTTGACCTGAAGTTTATGCCCACTGAAGAGAATGATTGAGAAATGACAATTGATTAGGATGATATGATCAATAATGTAAAACACGCAAAATTGCGCGTAGATGACGTTGCGCAAGACTGAGCACATTGAAAACCTTATTGTATCTATTCCAGAATTTTAGATGCACTATATAAATTTACTGTACAATAATAATAATAATGGTAACAGGGCTAAACACAAATACATGAAGTGTGGACTGAGGAGATATGGAAATCTAGATGATAACAAATATTCAAGTTGAAAACATTGTATTTGATCTCCGCTTTCTTCCTGCAGTTATACCAGTGTCTGGCCCCTTACTGTTTTCACGGACACATGAAAACTACTGCAAGGGGATATTATCAATAGATGGTCCTAATAATGGAAAGTAAGTGTCATTATCTTCATTAAAATGTGGAATTTTAAACACAATTGTTGCCATGGATAAGAACTGAATACTAGTGTGATAGGGTATTGCAGATAGGCCAGGAAAAAATATTTCAAATAATTTATTTACAATGCAGTTTTTACTGGTTCTCAAACATTGCTACGAATATCCTGTCGTTACTAAAACTATTACACAGAAGAAAAATGTGTATAGGCCTACACATCAAAAAATGTGTATAGGCCTACACATCACAAAATGTGTATAGGCCTACACATCACAAAATGTGTATAGGCCTACACATCACAAAATGTGTATAGGCCTACACATCACAAAATGGGTATAGGCCTACACATCAAAAAATGTGTATAGGCCTACACATCACATCTGGCTTATATGCCTCGTATGCACTTTAAAGAACCCATTGCATTTTTCAGAAGAGTATGGGATTCCCCAATGCTATGGTTCATTTTCAGCCCCTTTAGTTGTGGAATGATGTGAACATAGCTACTATAAGCGCCTCTTTATGGTGGCTAGGTAGTCACAGAAAATGCTCATATGCAATTCAGCACAATGTCGCAAGTTGTGAGTTATTCTCCTACCTTTACTTTCTGATTGATTTCTTCAATTTTTGTTTATCAGGTGTTCAAGAGCAAATACTGTTATTATACCTGAAAAATGTAAAGATGTGCAAGTAAGTAAAAAATATACATGATATGATTTAATTTTTTAGTCTCATCAATGTGGACGTGTTCCTCTTTTAAAGGTGTGCACTGCCACCCTTTGGAGTACACTACCCGCATTGCTTGTCATATGAATTTAGGCAAAACTTTTATCATACAGTACCTCCAAAACGAAAGAGACAGTAACAGTGGAGGATCCACGGATTCAAAATAGAGCGGCCCAGGAAGGGACTTTCACAGATGGAGGGTGTTAGACCACCATAGCCCAACCATGATTATGGCACCTCTAGATAGCTGGACATGGCACTGTCAGATTTAAATTTGAATATAATAATAATAATAATACATAAATAATAATAAGAATTAAAAGTGCACAAATCCACTGCAGTAGTGCTCAAGGCGCTAAAATATATAAATTCATTTTTTTCTTCATTTTTTTTTATAATTCAAAAGTTTTAGTGGGTGGGCGGGGGGAGGGGGTGGAGACCAGCTGGGCCACCCCTTCAATCCATCACTGCATGAATCTCCCAATATGATAATATTTACTTCTTCCTCACCATTAAGTTTAAAGCATTGTCAGTGTACTGAAGTGTTGACATTGTACATTGCAGTCTTTATATGACCACACAGTAGGACGAGCAGAGGCCTTGAGGCATCCTGTATTATTTTTTTTACCTTACATGATTTCATTTTTAAACAAAATTTTGTGAAACAATTTTGCTAAATGAAATCTAAATTCATTATTTTTTTTTCTGCCCAACTCTGTCGATCTTTCAAAAATGTTGTTTGCTAAATAAGAATTCTGCACTCTGCTGTTTGATTCTACTGTTGGTTGATTTTTTTTAATGCTTTTCCAATAATTTATTTAGATTCCAGATGATCATTTAGAAGGTGCATGGCTGTGGAATTCGACCCATCCTGAACCTATACGTGTGATTAAGACACAAGGGGGTGGTATAGCAAATACAGATATTGTCATATATGTGCAGACACAATTTTGTGACTCAGAAGTAAGGCAGAATTTGTTTAAATCAAACTTTTAGGAAGGCAGTCAAATTTGTTATTACCCCTTCCATATAATGGCACAGATGCAAGAATTTGTAATATTATTGGCCTACTCACTTTCTTATAGAAGCTAGTAGGGTGAATTTCTAAAAACTGTCTATAGATAGTCTAAATGCAAAGACATCTATAATTGTGACATAACTTGTGGTCTATTATTGTAGACCATTGAATTACAGTGGTGTAACCAGTTACCTAAATTATCAAGTCTGGTTAGAGGAGGCTATTATTAAGTCTCTAAGCTTGTCTAACATTATCTAGAGTCATATTTGCATTGAGTTTCCGTAGTAACACATCCTGATTTTATTTTAGTCAAAGAATTTGTTCGACCTTGAAATAGAGGTTATTTCTATTCAATGTTTGTGATAAATGTGAACCGAGACACCATTTCGTTTTTTGTATTTTTGCTATGTACCACCGGTACATTTTTATGTTCGTTTTTTGTAAACTTTGAAGTAAATGGTATGATATACTTATGTTGTGCAGATATTGGCCTATGATAGCATATGTAGCAATAAAAGAAATTTATTCAAATTGAAATGAATATGTTTTTGATGGCAGGGTGTTCTAGCCCACGCCCAGTTCTGCAGAGTTGATCAAAATGGACGGCCGGTTGCTGGTTTCATGAACTTATGTCCACATAGTTTTCACGATTTCACTGATGTTGATAAGCTCACCACAGTAAGTGTGTGGTATTGCCTCTTTTATTGCATAACTAATCATCAATCATTATCATCATCTTCATTAACATCATCATTATCACCATCATCATCATCAACATCAAATCATAATCATCATGATCATCTTCATTTTCATCATCACTATCATTATGTTCATCATCATTATCACCATCTTCCTCCTCATCATCACATAGTTTTCATTACTGTAGGCCTATTATCATTTTCATCACATCATCATCATTATTATTCTCATTACTATTATCATACATATTGTTATTGTATTAATTTTATAATTCTAATTTTTCAGGTGACTATACATGAGATCTTTCATATATTAGGTTTCACACATCGTTTATATGATGAATTCCGTGACTGTTCCAGTTCAGGTAACTTTCTTTCTTGTAAAAGTGAATAAAAAACCAAGTAATTCAAATAGTATAGATACAGCTTGTGAAGAATTTTTCAAATCTTTTTCCATTGTTTAGCAACTGGATTAGATTGCCCAAAACGAGAGAACACGATGGTAGTGGACAATAAAGGTCAATCCGTGTTGCTGACCCCTACCGTAATGCTGAAGGCAAGAGAACATTTCAACTGTTTTCAGAATGGCTTTGGTAGTTTGTTGGAGAATCAGGTAAAATGATGAATATAGTCTAAGTTTAGAATCCATTACATATTATTGCCATGTTATGTATTTTAGTACATTTTATGGGCCAGCAAGTGAATCTATAAATATACCACACATTCATACACAGAGGCAGAATGGAGAGCTTATACAAATGGAGTAGAGTTGAATAGCTTAAGTGGTTAAGATGCTTGCCTCTAATCTTCCTGGGTTCAATTCCTGTGATACCAGGATTTTTTCTTACGACTAAAACAACTCCACTCCCTAAGGATCATTGTGAGACTTAAATATTAAATATAACTGGGCCCTGTGGAGAGCAGTAAATATCTACTATACATGATACCTAGTATAAAGAAGAAAAATATATTAAAATTCGGCACCAAAATTAATAACACAAAAACTTAAAAATATTTTGCCATATCACCCATTTGCAAAATACAAAATTGGAAATACGTAACACTTCATTATTTTTCTTTACAGGAATCAAAGTCACATTGGGAGATGAGGATGATGGCAGGCTCTATCATGGCACCCGTTATTACCCAGGTAAGTCTCTCCTCTCATATCATCTTAATATTTGTATCTTATTTTGTTTCTTATGCTTAGTTTGTAACCCACATATTAACATCAGCCTTGTATTGGATTCATATAGCATATAGCACTAGTGGGTCCATATAGCACTACCTGGTGATTGTAAGACCAAACTTTTTATACCTTGTTTCGCAAATTATTTTTTTAGAGATTGTCAGAGGAGAGGAGAATAGAAATAAATATCAAAGTTTTCTTATTTAGCAAATAGTTTTGAGAAGAACATGTTATTGGTACTGCTTTAAATTTAAATAATTAGAAATGTGGTCTTGAAGTAAAAAATATAGCTTGGTGTTTACGATCTTTGCTATATTCACACATGGAGGAATTAGTTTAGAAAGAGAATCATCCAGCAAGGATGAAAGGTACAGAACTACACTAATTCCTCCATGATTCACAATATGAAGTTCTATTCCCCATTATAGGTATGTCGCTTAGATTCTGAAAGCGTGAATGGAGCCTCAATTATGGCCATATATAAACTCTCCAATGAGATCCAGTTAAACACAACATATTATGTTTTCTAATCTAAGGTAACCATCTTTAGCTTCCAATATCAGGTTACATGGTAACTGGTAATTCATGTCTTTTTAGGCCCATGTTACATTCCTGGACCCAATCACCTTAGCTGTGTTTGAAGACACTGGTTGGTACAAGGCCAACTTTGAGTACGCTCAGAGCATGCCATGGGGGCGCAATGCAGGCTGTGCGTTTGGTTTACTAGACACGTGTTCAGATCCTCCTTATTTTTGTTCCAATGAAAGGTAAATCTTTTTAGGTTATTAAAATCAAATTGAAATCCACTCTATTTTTATATATTTATTTCAATTGTATTAATTTATTTTTCTTCACATGAAGTTGTTTTTATGTGCCAGTACTGTATATGCTTCTGTCTATATTGTATCATTTTGGCAGTGCATGTTTAGCCTGTATACAATCTAAACATTTACAATACACAGTATTTTCATAATAGATGGTGGGGTTGCTATAAAACTTTAACCTCTCTTTTTAAATTTTAGTATATCTGGCTGTCACTATCTCCATGGTGATAAAGGAAGTTGTTCCAGCAATGAGTACTTAGAGTCTTGTAGCCTGTTTACTGTTATTGATCATGTAAGTATTTTGTCTGCTAATTCCATGGATAGAAGAAACTCGCCCTTTAATTTGAAAGTTATCTCCTAAATGTTAAATAATTTTTGTGAAAATGTATTGTAACCAAATCAATATCTCATCCTGATAATAAATATGGTCCTCCAATTATTGTTTAAATTTGCTCTACCAACTATTAATCCCTCTTATTGTGGCCCCCTTCCCCCAAAAAGAGTACACAATAAAATGATGATTGTTGTCATTTTGAGATCATCTTTATTATAGAGTACATACAACGTTGATAAATTCCTCCTAGTGTATGCTTTGTACTCTTGAGAATATGATGAAGTAAATGGGTTGTTTATTTTTCCATGGTAAAAAAAATATTATGATAAGTATCCTAAATTCTTTCTCCAATTTAAATAATTTTCTACTTTCTAAATAAACATAGTAATGGCATAGAGCATAGCCTATTCTATTAAATTTTTGTTTCTGTCTTAATAGGGTTTGTGTTCAGAGGAAAGTAATTCTCATTTTTCTGAAGAATTACAACAGACTGGTGAGCTTTATGGAACGGGTAGCAAATGTTTTGTAACTGACTTAAGAAATGATGTAAGGAAATAATTTGTAATCTTTAACACTTGATTATATTTCATTGATTTTTACTGCATTGGGAGGGAAGTGGCTGGTGGTGGAATTAGTATTACATACCATGGCCACCATTTTTTTTCTAAATTTTACTATTTTGGTTATCCTTGCACTAGCAACATTAGGTTTTTTGCAAACACCAATAGCATTTTAACCAGTAGCAGCATTGTTTGTCCAACCAAAAGTAGCATTAGGATGTCCAAGTACTGGTGCCATGGGTTGATGAAAAATAGTAGAATGACATGTCCACAGTCAGTAGCTTGTGATTCTCAACAACCAGTACCATGGGTTGAAAACCCCTAGTAGCATAGGTTGATGGCCCTGGTAGCAGTGCTTGACGCCCATCGGTAGCATGGGTTGAAAACTACCTTAACATTTACTTCTGAACCAGTAGCATGAGTTGACAACCAAAAGTAGCAGGTGTATAAATAATAATGTTGTTAATTTGTGTAATAATTCTTCTTAATAGACTTTCATTGGTGATGAGTCAAAGGGTCATTGTTACAAAACCCGATGTGACTGGGAGGAAGACACCTATGAGATTTTGGTAGCCGGGATAGAGTGGCACAGATGCTATTCTAATGACACTGTCTTGGTAAGTTCAGGACTGCCATCATTTCAAATTAGTTAATAACAAATTCACAAATTCTGTAGCTAAGTTATAGAAAGAAGGTTCTTTCAAATCTATTATGTTGTCTATTAGATTGCTGGTTATTCACGTGAAGTTCATTGCCCACCGTTTGAGGTCATTTGTCAGAATCGCTCTTCCATATCAAATCTATTTAGTCTTCCTGATTTACCTGAAGCCAGCACTATTCACCCAACCACTGAACATCAAGGTAAATAGTGATGATGGTGGTGATGATGATGATGGTTGTGATGATAATATTAATAATGGTGATAATGATGATGATGGCTCTCAAGATAGTTGAGTACAGTAGCTGTATTATTCAGTAAATATGCAATCAGTTGGTAGCACTTTTTCACTAATTATATGATTTTATTTACAAGCTTTTCACTCAAGCAGTCGATGAGACTTCATCAGAATTAGTGAAGTAGTTCACTGTGTACAGTAGATAGATATTAATGTATTTTGCATGGGTAAAATAGAACAATACCTAAATAATCAATGGATCTGATAGGATAAGGTTGTCACTGATGATGACAACGAAAATTAAACTGTATCTCTGTCCTCATCATTAAGACAGTCATCAGAGAATAGTAAATATTGAAAAACATCTAATATATTACATAAGCATTGTAATTGCTAGTGTGAGGCCTTTACCCTGTTAGGTGAATAACAGTTAACAGTCATTTCTGATTAAATATTTCTTGTCATGTATGTTGTCATGTTTGTTAACATTTGACAGTTGTTTCTGATTAAATATTTATTTTTTTCTCTCTTTTGATTAAGTATTTCTTGTTGTGTATGTAATCATGTTTGTTGGATGTTTTGACAGACTCTGACCTGCCAAGCTCATACAACGACAACCTTGTAATAGAAATTGCGTTTGATGACATGAACGCTTCACACACACGTGATGAGGATGGCGATGTGGACTTGCTTCATGCAGTTAATCAAAGGATTCTTTCAATAACCAACGTATCACAGTAAGTCGCAACCTTCAATAAGATTACGTTCCAAGACAAATGGCCGAGCTGCTAATGTCATAATGCTGTCGGTGGTTTGAGAAGCATGCTCATCTATTATACCGTATATGGTTCTGGTGGTGCAATAAGCCTTCTCAAATAACGACTATAAACTGTAGATCTAGTGTACACAATCCTCATGTACACTATAAAGAACCCAGTATATATTTCAAGATGAGCAGGGAATTACTACTGATCCATACAGTGCCTGTTTGGATAGACGAGAGTAGCTGGCACCTATTTATCAGGTAGCTCAGACATTGAGTGATCCTTAAGGAAGAAGCAATTAATGTATGAGCTTGTCCAAACCTCAAGCTTGTTGATACTTCTGTATAAGGCACTATAGATATTCAACTACATTACATGTTGCACACCTCCAAAAGTATTGTATTTTTAATGCATATTTGGCTCAGTAACATACCCTTTCGTTTTTGTATTGCCCAATTTTTTTTAGTATGTCTTCTGCTTTAGTAATTCTCTCTTTTCTCATCAAAAATAATCTTCTAGATTTTGTAAATTTACAAGTGAGCCAATCTGCTGTTTTCCGGAATCTTTTTTTTCCCCCTGTGGATTTCTGTGGGTTTTTTTTGTGTAGATATTACAAATGTTTTCATAACTTGCTTCGAAAATGTATGTTAATAGTAATATTTATTCTATGAACTATAATTTTTCAGGGATCGCTTGGATGTTTTTGAGTTGGAGGTCACTATAGACTGTGTGTTTGTGATATTAAGCATCCAGCATTCAACACCTGAATGCAGTAAGTATAAATAATATTATGTAATATAAAATATTATAAATTATACATTAATATACCCTACTAACATGAGAATTGGCCTATCATCTACCATTTTGAGTAATGTTTTATGCAAAATGCTGAGTATAGCCAGATCAATACTGTATTATAACTGTTTCATATTTTGTTTCCTATAAATTATATTGTGATTATGTATTCACAAATACTTTCATATTTTAATGATCTGTTTCAGAAATTTCTTCCTACAATGTTTATAAATCCTTGGAAGAGGTTGTTAAATCTAACAAGTTCACAATTGTTCATCATGGTCAAAACCTGACGGCAACAACTATCAGGTAACCAATTGTTTAATGGTTAATTTAAAAGTTTTTTGTTTTGTTTTATTTTGGATGGCAGGGACAGTGTTTTAGATTAATCCTTGACTTGTAATATATGTTAGGCAAGTTACAATGATAATAATAATTATATTTATTATGAATGAACATTGTGGGAGAATACTAGATAACTGTATTTTTATACCTATCTTTTTGATGATGTTCATTTATGTTTTATTATCCTTATGTTCACTTTTTGATGTATTCCGAGGAAGAAATTAAAAACCTTATTGTTATTGACAATAAAATTAGTTTGACTTGAGTAATTCTATTAATTATTTATGCTTTTTCTGTATTTTAATTACTATAGGATAATTGATACCTTGAGCTGGGCAACATCAACTATTTCACCAACTGAGCTGACTGGTGTAACTTTAGCTGTGGTTATCATGTTCTCAATTATCGGTGCTATCGTTCTCATAGTTGTAGTCTGTCTTTGTAAGAGAAAGGCCTGTTCTCAACGAGTTGCCCCCCTCGACATAACAGATATCGGTCAGCCTCCTAAAGTCAACATTAAAATGCAATCACGCCAAACAACTCGTAAAAAGAATCCTAAGATATAAGCTATTTTAGAGAGCAAGTTTCTAAGTAGGAACATTTTAATAAGAATGCCAGGATATATGTTTTAAAATGTTACACAATATTGAAAATTTTTTATGCAAATAACTGACTGACTTTACATATTTTTTACTTAAGATCTTTTTGTAATATAATAATATATTTATATAATGTTTGGGTTCTTGGAATGATTTTATAGATTTTATTAAAATATACAAAAGATAATAAATATTTTGCTGCATATGAAGTTTTTGAGTTGCAAGGCTTATTTATTGATTGACACTTGTATACATTGATACACAATGGACCTTTACCGGACTTGATCCAAAATAATGATGTCGGTACGATGTTTCTTTAAAAAAATAACAATTACGATGACTATTCTCAGAATTCTAAAATGCACGGAACTATTATTAGTATTTCATTCATATACAAATAATAAATAGGAAGAAAGTATTATCGTGCATGATAAGAAGGTAAAACGTTCCCAACGTCAACACAATGAGAGAGGAACGAGCGTTGCGATTGTCATGTGCACGTAGTATGCGTGCACTTGCTTACCTAAGATTATACTGACACTGGTTTCAAATGAAATAGGCCTAACTGACAACTTTGGTTTGTACAAATACGTATGCAAAAATGCACAGGGACACCATGTTGTTTTTGTATTTTTCTTGAAATCGGTATGCCTGATCACCATCATCATACACAGTATAATAGATTAAAGTAAGATGTTTCAAATGATATAAAAACGTATGCAAACATGCCTTTGGAACAGTTCTTTTTTCGAGTTTTATTTACCTTAACGTCGATTAATCACACCAGGATTAATCACCATAATATGTTTGTATTTTTCTTTAAACCTCTATGCCTGATCACCATCATATCATACACAGGATAGTAGATTCAAGTAAGATGTTTCAAATGATATAAAAATGTATGCAAACATGCCTTTGGAACAGTTTTTTTTCGTGTTTTAACGCCCCATTTTTAAAATTAGTTCAGAGCAACCCATCGCTGCTGCCTGGGTGGCTGCTCCTATCCTAAAACTATGATATGACCCTTATACAAGGCTGGGTTAAACCAATAATGTTTGGTTGCTTTGAACTTTTAAGAAATGTATTGGGGTGACACCGCCCGACCATCCATGTGTTGAAAGAGTGGTCCCCTGGTAAGTCGAAAGTGTGTGATATACTCGCGTAACTGGAAAACCGGACAGAAAGATTTATCTTTTTGCCTAGCAATTGAAATGACCACCGGAGGTTTCCCCGTTGATGCTTTGGAATGATGTATCGTTAGGTTTACTCCGTTCGATATAAAATTGATATTTTTGCGTTGAATGACTGTCCCCTCCTTCCCGGGTCGGGCAGCTAACTCCCCTATACACATAAAGGCATGGAAGCTAGTAGAAAAAATGTTTGCAGTAGTTGTATGTTTGTTTGAACGTGTTCAACCGTATGTAGCACTGTTATGATACGTCGAAGAATATTCATGGCAGCGCATCCCACATCCATCCAGTAACCGATGACCGCAAGCTCTCCTTTTGGTTCACGATCATAGTTTTATTTATTTTTTTTGTTTTATTTCTGATTTCGAGTATGGAATTAGCGATAGAGGGAGAGAGAGGGAGAGACAAAATAATAGAAATCTTTGACGGTGACTACATCGACGTTACGCAGCGCATCCCACATCCATCCAGTAACCCACGAGCGAACTCTCCTTTTGGTTCACAATCATAGTTTTATTTATTTTTTCGTTTTATTTCTGATTTCGAATATGAGAGTAAAGGGGAGATAGGTACAATGTATGAAAAAACGATATCATATTGCATACATTACATTTAATATTAATCCATTAACATTATTCTTCCAAATTATTTCTTTATATTTATTATTTATTTTATATTTTATTTATATGCAGATGATACTCCCTTCTCCATTCGGCTAATGATATCGAATCCCTTTTAAAAATTTCCAATGATAATTTACCTAATGTTCTCAAATATTTCTCTGCTAAACTCTGTCAATTTGAAGAAGTGCAATTACATTATCTTTCAAAATGTCCATAGACCATATGATAATTACATAAATCAACTCAAAATTAATAATCAGGTAAACCCCCTCTCGTTAATGAAACTAAATTTGTAGGTGTTGTTATTGATAACAGTTTAAGTTGGAAAAAACACATAATATCTGAAGTTAAAAATGAAATTGCTAAAATTATCGACATTATTTACAGGTTATCCTCTTTTGTTCCCCAAAATATACTGTTCTTTGATCCTTCCCTACCTGAATGATTGCAAATTGGTCTGGTCCAACACTTACCCTTCCCATCTTAATAAACTGTTACTCCTTCAGAAGAAAGCCGTTCGAATTTAATGTCGGGTGCACTCCGCGAGCCCACACCGATCCTTTATTTTCCTCCCTTGGTCTTCTAAAAATTCATGACATCAATCATCTTCAGCAATGCGCTTTTATTTTTTCATGGGTAAATTTCTGTCTGTCCCCCTCAATTCAAATCATTACTTCATTTTAATTTTGATTATCATAGTCATTTTACCCGCTCTTCAAATCATCTACATATTCCCTTTCATAGAGCCACTTCTTTCCGGCACAATATTTAATATACTGGTCCTAAGCTATGGAACAATCTCCCTCACAACATGTATAATTCCTACTCTAACAAAAACTTCTGTTCAAGACTTAAAAAACATCTCTTATCAAGTTATGCATAATTTTCTCCTTCTAGCCATTCTCGATCTCCATTACCAACTCGTTACATTTTGTTTTTGTCCCAAAATTATAAAAGAAAAAAAAATTGCATTTCTGAGCATCCTCGTGTTGTCTGCTTTGTCTATCTTGTCTCCTGTTGTCCTGTCCTGTCCTGTTTTGGCTTTGGTTTTTCTGTGTGTTTATTTCAGGGCAGCCCTACACAAGCTCCGCTTTCTGGTTTTCGCCCCTCAAACTTGGCTGGTTATTTATTATTTTATATAGGCCTATGCATTATTATTACTTTTGAGAAATAAATGTTCTTTTGAACTTGAAAAGCTTTTGGTTCACGATCATAGTTTTATTTATTTATTTATTTATTTATTTCTGATTTCGAGTATGGAATTAGCGATAGAGGAAGAGAGATGGAAAGACAAAATAATAGAAATCTTTGACGGTGACTACATCGACGTTGCGTAGCGCAACACACATCCATTCAGCAACCGATGAACGTAAGCTCTCCTTTTGGTTCACGATTATAATTGTTTTATTAATTTATCGTTTTATTTATGATTTCGAGTATGGAATTAGCAATAGGGGGGGGGGAGGGATAAACAAAATAATAGACATTTTTTACGGTTACTACATCGACGTTACGCAGCGCATCCCACATCCATCCAGTAACCGACGACCGCAAACTCTCCTTTTGGTTCACGATCATAGTTTTATTTATTTTTCGTTTTATTTCTAATATGAGAGTAAAGGGGAGATAGGTACAATATATGAAAAACGATATCATATTGCATACATTACATTTAAAATTAATCCATTAACCATTATAATATATACATAAACCGATAATTAAAATCAATAAAATCTAATAACGTATAGATACTATTCAGGGTAGACAGAGGGGGGAGAGAGAGAAAACTGAACAAAGAAGAAAAAATATATATAAATATGGAATGGTTGCTCGACCTATAACAATAGATTATAATAGGTTTATTGGTATAAAATAGGGAGCTGCGGTACACACGTCCAAGGACAATACGGTAATCGTAATCATAATCATCATCATCATTAAACATTTTTTTTTTAAATTATTATTAAAATTGATGAGTATTATGAATAGTATCATTATGATTTCAGTTTGTCAGCCCACTATTGTACATATACCGTACACTCGCGAATAATAATAATAATAAAGTTCTTAACCGTTCTGAATCGACAGAACAAGTGGTTGTGATTGACTACCAGAGTAGTTGACAAGCTTTAACTTTGCAAAACAAAAGGGGGACCCTAGAGAAAAAATATGTTAGCTGACCTTATATTTTACTTTCACGTTCCTTGTTTTTGTTTTCTATTTTAGTATTAGCTAACCGTCTAATTACTTATCTTCTCTTTCACTTTCATTCTATGCTTCTTTAACTTTCCGTGATTCCTATTAAATTTTACCTACGGTACCTTTTCTTTCTTTCGTCTTCCTTTTCCTTTTAATTACGGTATCTTTTCTTTCCTTTCCGCTTTCTTTCTAATGCCTCCTTATGCATTATTTCTTTAAATTTTCTTTGTAATATTTCCTTATCTAAACTCTTCTTTTTCTTTGTTTGCTATGTATCCTTATTTTTTCTTATATTTACTTTATTTCTTTTCTTTCTTTTTCCATTTCTTATGCTTTTTCATATATATCTCATTTTATCTTATCTTATTGATTCTTTCGTATCCTGATTCTTTCTTTCTTGTCCTTTTCTTTCTTTTTACCATTTCTTAGGTTGCATTGAATAACATTTCTTTCTTTTTTTTCATTCCTTTTTCTTTCTTATATTTACTTTTCTTTTTCTTTGGTTTTAATTCTTTCTTTTCTTTTCTTTCATTCTTTCTATTTTTTTCTTACCTTTCGTAGGTGTTCTTGAATATCCTTTTCTTTCTTATGTTTCATTCTTTTCTTTCCTTTTTCTTTCTTATAGTATTTTCTGTTCTTATCTTTCCTTTCATATAATTAATTCCTTTCTAATAATTCCTTCTTCTCTTTCTTTCAATTTCATTCTTATACTTTTTCATAGGTGTCCTTGAATATCCTTTCATTTTCTTTCTTATGATTCTTTCTTTTCATTCCTTTTTTTCTTTCTTATATTTACTTTTCTTTAAGCCACCCGTATTTAAATAGGCGCCCCTCTCGATAATCGCCCACACAAAAGCCAACATTTTCTTAAGCGCCCCGTTTGAATAAGCGCCCCTACAAATGATAACAATAATCGTATAATCCTCAAACTTGGTGGGCTCATCAGTTACATTATAATTATTCCAACGTAATTCACGATTATAGACGCATCTGGACTGGTTTTATGTAAGGTACAACACAAAATACAGTTTTAGTCACTGTCACTGCCCTTCAGAGTTACCCGATGAACTTGAAGCAGAAAAGAGTCTTGGTCAGCCAACAATTATGTAAATTGTGTAACGAAAGTAAAAAAGAAACGATGTAGACCATTTGCTATTTTTGATTGTAAAGTCTCTTCTGAACAATAAATGGCACGGTATCTATATCAAGATTTATTTATTTTTATCTCTCGAGATTTATTTATATTGATTAATATAAATAATAATCATTAAGCTTAAAAAGGGGCGCAACCCTGAAAAATTGCAACAGAAATTATTTCACCACAATGCATTTCTAAGGTCTATATTGAAACATTATATCACTATTATCATTAAAATTAATCTTAATTATTTGTAAGGTTCGAGTGTCAGTGCGCTGAAATATATTTATCATACAGCAGAATATGGAAAATTGACCCAGGGTGTATGAGTGTTACATAATTGTATAGTGCGATTATAAAAACTGGCATAATATTATTAGAAAGGGAATTGAAACGTGTTAAAGCGAAAATGTTGATTTGGTGATTCTAATAGTATAGGTCTAACCTCATGGGTTATTATTAGAGTAATGGGTTGTTATTATTATCATTTAGTGCGAGTACGAACGTTCAATGTAAGTAAAGGTATACGATTAGAATCAAAGCTTTTGTACAAAATAACATAATTATCCAAAACAAGTCTACGTTTTATTAGGCCTATATTGAGAACTTTTCACAAAATTTGGCCAAATTTGCCCAAATAAACATTCAAACATTAGGATTCGGTTTTAGGGTGGGTTGGGGTTATTAATAGAGCTGCTGTTAGAGGTTTTGAGGTATTTATTATTTATTTATAGAGATTTATTTATTTATTTATTATTCTATGGAGATTAATTTTAATTTTTAGTTTTAGAGTAAAAATTTAATGATTCATTTCATTCGTCCATATCACTTGATGGAGCGTTTAATTCCAAATGGCCTACAGACGTAAATCTAAGAAAGGAGGTGCTGTAGCACTTTATATTAATCAAAACACCACCCACAAAATTAGAGATATTTAATACACAACTATAAAATTTACAAACTGCTGTCATTTCCTAGCCTTATCTATGGTTTGTGTATCCAAGAAGATGGAATCAACAACATATTCAAAAATTGTTGTGGGAAAATAATTCCGCGACAGATTTGTTGATATTGGAAAAAAAATGACCAATTTCAAGCTTGTTGAAAATGTTGGCAATTAAATGAGGGTCTTTCACCTTAAATGATATTTATTCGTATACAGTTACAGTAACTGCAAAGTGGCACATTTCTCCATCATCACCGTCATCATCACCTGGCAATAAATGCAATGTCTTCCAGTTATTTGAATGTGTGGCACCTACTCCATCCCCCTCCCTATCGTACTTAATTTAAGCATCAATGAGTCTACTTTTCATTTCAATTCCATTTCAATGTTTTATTTCGGAACATGGCGCCTTATAATGCCCAGCACGTATAAAAGGACAAAAGATTACTTCTATAGCCCACCTCTAATGATAGAATGAAGATCCAACAGGAGATGTACAAGACATGTGTTCCTGAACGTGTATTTTGTTTGTGTATCTTCAACATGTTTCCTTCACATGTGAATTTCACTATAATTGCCAACTTGGAACAAATCAATAGCCCACAGCTGAGCCTAACTTAATCGCTGTAGGTAGAAGCATATATTTCAGTTGGCTTATATACCTGCCATGTAAAAGCGGGCCTTTTTTAACTTCAACAATAAAAATTTCTTTACTTATGTTCTCGACAACAATATCTGGTACACAAGATTTAACTACACAAGTTTCCATCATTTCCTGTTCTGGGTTTGGTTTAACTGGAGAGTTCTCCTCACTTGACCCACGTAATCTAATTAAATTGATATTGTATTTAAAGTTACGAACTGATGGCTCGTTCACTACACTTCTCCCCCCAACATTTACCACCTTAAATTTATCCAGTGGCATCAAAATAGAAAGCACATGGGTGACAAATGCTCTGCTTCGGGAGCTGGCCATGTCGGTTATAAACCCCATAGTAATAATTTCGTCTGACAAAGTAAGTGAATCTGAAAAGAAAAAAAAAACATATGAATAAAAACACTGACTTTAAATAAACAAATTTGAATTTTGGAATTGGTCTAGAAGGTTTTTATCAGCTGATCCCTATTACCGACAAGTGCCTGCTTAAGGTATTATACATTTATTTTTTCAATGTCTTTCATGGCCTAACCAACATTAGGGGGGTCAAACCTTCTAGGCAAAATGGTGTGAAATCTTATGTGTGATGGGCGTTTGATACATTGGAAGGCCAAAACCAATACCTTTTTAAAATTCATCTTTTGTAATTTTTCCAAGACTTTGGGAACAACTTCCAATACAAATTCAGCAATCCTCAACCATTTCTGATTTCAAAGCTCAACTAACTAAATACTTGATCGCAAGATACTGATTTGTGTTTTTCTGTTTTTATTTTTAATATTTCTTGTTTTTACAAATTTAGTACCTTTCCTTTTTTACAGTACTAAAATTCTGAGTAAATTTCAAATAAGGATTTTAAAATTTGGTTAAGTTTTTAATTTTGTTGATTAAGTTTATTTTAAATCAAGTCGTTTTTCACACACATTGACATAACAAAATTCTATGAAAATTACTTGAACCCTAAAAAATTTAAAGAAAAATGTCACGCCTCCACACTTGTGGTGCGGTCATATATACAAAACCAATGAAACAGTGTTATCAGAAATAATATGTCCTTAGGCGCCCCGTTTGAATAAGCGCCCCCTCGTAAGATTTCCTTTTTTGCAAGCCAATAATCAAATCAATCCTGGGACTGTGGTTGTTGGCATGATTTGAGCTGTAGAGTGGAAACACATTCTTCTTCGGTCAATATCATAATGAGGAGATTTCTCTTGGACAGATGAGATCTCCGGTCCCTGGGCAGACAGTATATTTCCAACTTTACTCTTTTTACATATTTGTCTATGCCTAGTCCTGCCCCTCTTTTTTTCCGACCTTTAGCACATTCTCATTTGAGTTTTCAAGAAAAAATACAATGATCCTTCCATCCTGCTAATTTCAATCGGCCGATGGCTTACAAGCTAACTACTACCCACTACCACTAACTGAATCTGCTATTTTGCTGTTAAATATTCACGCATTCTTGTCATGAGCCATGTTCTCTGGACGATTATCTTTTCTAACCACCATTCGTAATGTCTTTATATAATCCTTTTTCATCCAAAAAGTACCTCTTGAATTTAATAATTTCCCATAAGAACCCCTCGATTTCCATAAGCGCCCCCACTCTGTTTTTATAAGCGCCCCGTTTGAATAAGCGGCCCTCAGAAAGTGCAAACAATATTTTAAGCGCCCGGGCGCTTATTCGCGCGAGTACGGTATGCAACAAATTTTAAATTTGTAGAGGGCGCTTCTATCTAAACTTAACAAATTCTCGATTCAAATGTTCCCATTACCGTACCAAAATATTAGTTTTCAAATAATAAACGACCAAGGTAAAAAGGCAAGTTTTGACAAAACTCATGATTTTTGTCGAAACTGGGCGATTTTTCGACACTTCTATTTTACAGTGGTTTTGTATTCTTTGACACATACGGTTCATACAGTCAGTCAGTCAGTCAGTCATCTGTATTGTCTCCTGAATAGAATACCAATGTTACCTTTTTGGTAACCAGTACAATTCCATTCTCTACTACTCCCTGTGTTTCAACTGTAGGGATGAAATATTCCCAAATTATCGTTTTCTTGCTGATTCTGACATTATGGTACCTAGGGATCATGCATAAGTTCATATTTTCTCAGATTCGGACACATGGGATCTTTATTGAGTATCCAAAAAATCGTGAGCTAGCAATAGGCATTAGGCATATTTTGGTTTTTCAAGTTTTCATTTTTCTGCTTCATTTGTTCTTGCTACTGTTAAATTACACATTTGTAAACATATTTTCTGTATATTATTGCTACATTTACTGTATGTAACAGGGATTATTTGAAAATCAGTGCTAGTCACTGAATGGTACCCCTGGTTAGAGAAATCTTAAATAAATAAATTAGGGAATAGGATATATATACGCCCTCAAAATGGGGCTTATGCACTGAACTGATAAAAAGTACTATGGAAGTCTCAGCAATAGCCTCTCGCTATCAAGGCGAGTATCAAAACTTGGAGACCATAATGGTGTACATGCATATCTAACCTCCTTCAAACAGGATTGAAATTCAAAAGGAAAGCCTTAGAGTGTAAATCCTAATGGTCAGTGCTAGTCACTGAATGGTACCCCTTGGCTACATTCCTATTCTGCTAAGTTTTAAAAACATTTTCTGCCCATAATCTGACTTCTTGTTCTTGTTCTTAATTTTTTTCCCCTATACAACTATTTATATATTGGGCATGTGTGAAAAAAATCTAAATTAAATAATTAAAATAAAATATTATATAATATCAATAAAAGTAATAATAAAACCAATAATAATAATAATAATTACAACTAAAATGATAATTGTATGATGGTGAGTCAAATGGCCGAGCGGTTAGCAGGGATGTTGCAAGCTTACAGCCATAATTTCGGCGCTAGTTCGAACGACATGCTTGCCTATGGTTCTGGTAGTAGAACAAGTCTTCTCGGATATGGACTATAAAACGTAGGCCCAGTGTATATAATGGCTCGTGTGCACTATAAAGAACCCAGTATATCCTTCGAGACGAGTAGGGGGATATCCCGGTGTACTGGAACAGACAGCCCCTGTGGTGGATGACAAGAGTTGCTGGTACCGGGTTACCGGGTAGCACAGACACGAAGGGACCCTTAGGGGCGAAGAAAGTCACTGATCGTGTTCCTAGTCCACATATCAAACGCCCTGAGCATCTTATGTTAGATGGATATGGCGCTATAAAACTACACTATTACTATTATAATATCAACAACTACTACTACAACACAACAACAATATAAACTGACATACTCTCATACAGGGTAAGAGAGACATCACATATACACCAAATTCAATTTTCTGTTAAAACATTTAATAATTCTACAATTTAGCCATGCATTTCAACCTCTATAACATAAATAAGGAAACAAAATCAACTCATTCTGAGTTAGAACCCTACCCCACCTCCCAAAAAAACTGACCAATTGCTTAATGGGTATCTTTTGCCATATCATTACATATCTTACAATGTTATATTAAATGTATTTAAGAGTCTTATTATAACAGTAATAACCCAAGGTTTGCACAAAATGATACACATTATTTACTGGATGTAACATAACAAAATATGGTATGTACATACAAAATTTGATTCAAGTTGCTTTACATACAAATAAATAGCATAACCACCGCCTTCCTCCAAACAAAAAAAGAAACATTCTGTTTACGAGAATTATAGCAATTCCCCTTTTTGTCTAAAAAATAATGGAATTAAAAAAAATGACTTTCCACATAACTTAAAACAACTAACTTGCTTTTCTATGATCAAACTTGAACAAGAGATCTAAAAATCCAAATGCATATTAAATAAACTAAAAAATGTAAGTAATTAAGTTAACGCTGTATCTACATTTTATATAGTCATATTTTACACAATTTTACACACAGAGAAACAGAGAAGATATGTTGTTGAAAAGTAAGTAAGATGACTTGGTTGTTAGACTGCCATCTACAAACAGTATTCCCCATCTACATTTCATATAATGTCTGTATAATGAGACGTTATTTTATGTTATGTATAATTAACAATATAATATTTCTCAAAATACTATTCAATCTAGCAATACATGTAATTCAAAAGAATAGCAGCAACACAACACTGATAGAGAATTCATAGGTTTTATGATATAATTATATATACAACAGTTAAGAACATACTTAAGGTGTTGCATTTTGGTGAGTCTTTCTTGATTGGAAACAAGTAAAAATTAATTGAAACAAACTTACTAAGAAATTATACCTATAGAATATATAATAAAAATTCCTGTCGCAATTATAAATCTGCGGCAGATTGATAAATGAAGGTGAAAATTATTATTATTACTGAATACATTACTATATTCAGTAATAATAAACTGTTTGTTGTTACAATTATAACTAAATATATTAATAATTGTGTGGTAGTATGAGTACATGTTGTAATAAACATTCATAAATATAGTATCGGTTGTGTGTACCTGTGTTATGCTTTCTATTTTTAACCGTAAGGTCATGAATCGCATGGTTCGTGCTCAATACACTGATGTCTGCTTTTGTGAATGCTCTTTTGAAGTGAAGCCGTATACCAAGAGTTGAGCTGATGACCTAGCTATTGCTCTTGAATACAATGAATGGATGTTTATATTTAATAGAAGCAGTGATCTAATTATAATTAAGAAGTGTAGATTTATAATAATCAAAGTATTTATTATTTTTATTATTATTATTATTATTATTATTATTTCAATTTAAATATTGTTACCTTAATAAAAATTGTTATAGAACAATACATAAAAGTAATAACAAATATGAATAAGAAATACTGATATATGTCTGAGCAAGTTAAAAAACATTAATAAAAAAAAATCATATTGATAGGAAAATCCAGAAACTAAGTATTTAAATCAGAAAAAAAGGTCTATGAGGATATAAATTAATTAAGAACATTCACAATATGAATGGACATTTATAACAAATGCTACCATGTTTTACGTTCATTACTGGTGTAACTGATCCAGTTGCTTGGTTACCAACATGTTATTATTTTTAAACAAGTTGATCTATTTTACCAAGCTTTCAAGTAATTTTATTGTACTGTGTAGTTTAAATTTCAATTCAATAGGTATTGATATTTAAATTTTCATCGATGGGAATCCTTTTTTTTTTTTCATTTTTTGGCTCAGTTGAAAAAGACAATGTTATTCTAAATATGAACTTAGGCTGATATTTGAAGTTGGTCTTAAATTGATGCAAGACATATAATGGGGAACTCAAAAGAAATTAGATATAGCCATGTTGCTAAGGTATTACTATGGTTACACAACAGAAATAAACAAAAGAACAAGTACTGCTAATAAATAAAATGTGAAGATGGATACAGAGGATGATACAGAGATAAGGAATTTGGCTTTTTGAATAGATCAACCGAATAAAATATTTTAATAGCTTATAAGCTAATACCTAAATTAATACAGATTTTGATTAATAAGGAGACTTGCTTATTGATGTCTACTGGATTGCTTTTGATTCTCATTCTGCAAAATTTGATTAATTGTTGATTATTATTATATTATTATTATAATTATTGATCAACTTTCTATATAGGCTTCCTGATCAAAATAAATTGTATATGAATATATAATAGGCCTACACAAATATGTTTTAATTAAATTTCTTCTTGTGCTTCTTGTCTGAAAAAATTGTATATACATTAATATACTATAATAGTAACAATAAACAATAACTTCAATAAAATCGTTAATCATGATGATTAACAAATTCTTAAAAAATACATTATTCTGTATTATGCCAACAAGACTGCAACTTGATTATTTTCCAAATTATGATCCAAAATAAATCATGGGAATTGCTACATACTATCATTGAATTTAACAAAATTGTTAAAATAATAAAATAGTTTAATATAAATAAATAATATTTCTATAAGCAATCCAAAGACAAACACTTAGGTTTGATGATGTTGATAGAAATGAATTAATGTGGCATGAAATGACATCATTGGTTATAAAATGACAGATGACACCACTAATGAATACATTAAATGACATTAATAATGAATTCATTATATGATGACATCAATAATGAATACATAAATTATCAGCAATGATAATAATGACATTGAATAGCGACATCATCAATGAGAATACATCAGCTGATAACGACATTGTCAATAACACACAATATCAACGACATGAAATGATGACATGACTAATGAATTAATGAAATAATGACATGACTAATGAATTCATGAAATGATGACATACCTAATGAATTCATTAAATGATGACAGCAATGAATTCACAAAATGATGACATCACTAATGAAGTCATGCAATGATGACATCACTAATGAATTCATAAAATAATGACATTGACCTCACTAATTTATTCATTAAATTATGACATCTTTAATGAATTAATTAAATGATGACATCTCTAAGGAATTCATTAAATTATGACATCTCTAATAAATTCATTAAATTATGACATCAGCTGATAATAATGACACTGCCAATAACACAGAATAGCAACATCATCAATGACATGAAATGAAGACATAATATCACATCCAGAGAAATATGGCAATAGAATGCTAAACAATGTATTTAGCATTGAGTACACCATGTTGGTAACCTATGTTAATTTTGTGTGTGGTTGATATGAAAATACATTATCATAATAGCATTAAGTAAACCCTCTCAGTGAAAATGTACTCCCAATTTATAAAGATATAATTGACATGAAACAGATAAGCATGCATATTTTAATACTAAATAATAAGCCAAAATAATATTAAATTAAAAACAGACAAATCCAGTAATCAGAAATAAAAATGGTTTCATATCAACCAAATGGTATCTGTATTTTAATAAATTCTGCTGTAGATGCTACGTCAACCATCCAGTAAAAAGATAACAATATCAAGGGATATGGTATCCTACGATGACCAGACGTTTTGTAGGAGAGCGGCTAGACTCTTTATTATTAAATTTGTCAGATTATCATAATAATCCAATCAAATCAAAATCATCATCGTTGATTATGAAAACAAAAATAAGGTTCCACCACTAAAGGCAATAGAGTATTCCAAGTCAATTTTGTTACATAAAGTATCTTTTTTTGGGTATTTTTTTTTTCTGTCAAAACAGCTATATAGTAATTTTAAAATCTATCTAAATAAAAAGACTAATACTTGTTATTTAACATGCAAAATATACAATATTTACAATACTACTAATTGTAGAATTATCTTTCAATACATTCAAATACAGAGTTAGTACAATATATTTGACAGGTTGAATATTGCTGTCCTGTGTACTCATGTGACAATAGCATTAATCCTGAAAAAATTACATTAAAATATAAACATGCTGCATACCTAATTCACTAATGTTTCCATATTTGAATGTTTGACACACAAACTGACCTAAATGGTCAACACTGGCTCATAAAACTGCAAAATAATAAATCTGATATAACTATTTATATATATTTATTATTATAATTGAAGACATCAATATTAGGTCACATGACTACAAGGAAGGAATATTTTTTTCAATGTCATTCAAAGAAGTATTTTAACATAAGAATAAAAAACAGATAAATGAATTGCAGTCACTGTAGTTGAAACAGTCTTGTCACACGTTTACAAAATCTAATTACAAATGTTTTTAAAATTTATAAATACAGCAAAGGCTCTATTGAAGAATAATAATGGCAGGTAATATTAAACATAGATACATCTTACGCAGCAATAAACTCATCTCTAGAATTCACTTTAACAATATGTTTACGGCATCCTGACCGCTTTTGGAAAGAGACAGTGTTGGTTTTCACAATGTACAATTAAAGAATATACAGTTTATTAGATAGGGAAATATACTTGCTTCTCAGATAGGTAGTAACACTAATGATGAGTTAAGAAACTTGTAACAGAAACACTAAAACAGATCAAATCTTGAAAGATGTACATATGTTTTAGGTTACTGTACGAATGAAACCGACAGATTCAAATGCAATGTAATTGATAATCTAACCGTTAGCAGTATACCACTAACGGTTAGCCAGCGCTATCGGTTAGCAAGTTGAACGCGTTTCTATCATCAACCAATCACACATACGCGTTTACAATTTCCAGTTTCTTATTGGCCAGTGATTCGATCATCATATTTTTGGTATCCGGATCGGGATTTTCTCGTACAGACTACTAACCGTTAGCAGCCATGTGAGAACATAGCCTAATTCTATTTCAATGCTAAACACTTCTGTATTATGTTCGCATCATTTTGTGAATAAGTGTCAATATTTGTTCTCTGTTAAATTTTCATATTTTATAAAATAACATTTCTATCAAGTTAAACAAAATTTAGGAGTGTTGTTGGTAGTCTGTGAGTGAGATACTTAATGAACACTAAAAAGATTATGCGAGTTTTACAATGTGAAACTCACCTCATATAAAAGATAATTGATTGTTCCTGACTTCAGGAAAATTTTGACTCACCATTGCTTTATGAACTATATGTCCAAAAATGAACATATATATGATTTATTATTAGATATATATGGATTTTTTATTCACAGTTCTACCATAAAAATAAAGTCCCCCAATTTTACTAGTATAGGTCAGTTGCCACCGCTTTTGACCCGCGGTAACATACAGGGAGGCTGCTGTAAACGAGGAGCATCGCTTTTAATGCTCAGTTTAGTCTCACGACCGTCACCACGGATGTTACCAGCTCCAGCAGCACCACGCGGATCCTCTGCTACCGAGAAGCCTCGGAGATGTAGTTGAAGGGTGTCTTTACTAACACGGACAGGATGCACAGCGAGTCAATTATTGGAGATGTGAGGCAGATGAGAGTACAGTTTGGACTTAGATTCAGAATCTTTTACATGAGGCTTCACTTTCTTAGGTTGCACAATAGGAAGTCTAGACTGAAAGATTGGAAAAAAAAAAAAAAGAGCAATTAATATATTCGAAAGCTTTATAACATATAGGTGTATGTTAGCATTTTTTAAATGCACCACTGAGCAATAAGATAAATTTAAGTGCTCCACTTCCATCTAATCAAGGCATCATCGATGTAGTATTTAGAATTCCAATCCGGAAGCTTTAGAAAGAAATTTCTTTGGAACTAAATTAGACAGTTTGATAATATATGAACTAACTAATCTAGTATTATCATTATTATATATGTTATTTATTTTCTAGAATGGTCATGCATGAGTGAATCCGTTCTAGTGTCACATTGTCACGCAAATCGAAAGCTCCCTAATGTGAGCCACTTACCCGATCTCCTCTTTGCTTAGATTGCAGCAGACTTCGTTGTGAACTCCTGTGCTGTGCACGCTTTCCATCAAACTCTTCTCGGACAACATCAAAAAAATCAAGGTCCATCAATTCTTTACAATTCTTTCGATTAGCTGGGTCCATCTCAAGACAAGACTGAAAAAATAATTTAACAAAACTATGAAGCTGTCTGTATTGATCATGACATCATATTTTTCAATGATTATGGGTCAACCTCTCTATTTTTTATCTTTTCCGCTATCACAGTGAGAAGCTTAAATCATCAAAATAAAGTTTTTTGCATAAATGTTCACATTAAATTATTGACCTCCCATGCAAACTTGAGTTCATTATTATCAATATTAACATTCTTTATTGCATTGAGGCTTTAGCATAATGCGCTATATAAGCCAAAATTATTATTATTATTATTATTTATTATTAAAACATTTTAATTATTAAACATACCTTCAGAAAATCTAATAACTTGGGAAATTTCATTTCCAATGGTTCCTAAAATAAGAAGTAAAGTGACCGAAAGTTTTAAATTACAATGATATGCATTCACAAACGTTAACCAAAAATACGGTCTCACAAATCAAAATATAGTCAACAAATAAATCCACACCACAAGTATATGACCTTGTGAAATAAATATGAGTAAAAATCAAAACAATTCAAAAACAAAAATCATGCTTTCTTTCACATACAGAAACCATGTTTTCACAAATCAAGATTTGGCTCTTACAATTTAAAAACAATTCTTACAAATAAAAACCATACATTTACAAATTAAAATTATACTCTCACACATCCAATGATCTGACACATCAAATTATGTGCTGACATATTAAAATCATAAGTACTGTTATACCTGAGTTTTGGGTTCTGGTATTTGTAGACCTTGAAAGAACTGGTTGGTACTAAATATTTGAATATGTCTTGGTATTAAATCACCTAATATAAGAAAACATTCAATACCAATACTGATGTATTTGGACATAAAAAACAGAAAAAAAATCAGCATGAAATGTCATTTTTGCATTTACAAGTTTCTGGTGTATCCCAATATATTAAAAAGAAATTAAAGAAGGGCAATTAAAACCATGATTAAATAAATAATAATAAAAAACCAAACCAAAAAAAACCCAAATAATTACATTTTAAATCACACAAAAGGAAAGTCTTAAAACCAGCCTACTTTTGCTAATTGTTAAACAGAGTAATAGGCATATACCGCGTTCACATGTCTTAGGTCTCTCGCAAGCGGACGATTGGCTCACGAGCCGGCTCTTCATGTGAACAAGTTTGTGCCAGGCCACTCGCCGATGATGGCATGGCAAATCCAAACAAAGCTGCAGGACCTAAGAAAACAGTTTTACCTAAAGGAGGTGAATAAATTTGGATCTTGGGCCCCAAACTGGCCGGTTTACCACAGAATTTGGATCATCGGCGAACACCCAAAAATGGCATGTGGGGATCGTCGATGCCACCTCCACCCAGGCCTAGGATCAGAAATCGCAGCGAAAGCGGCAGTGAATGCAGTTTGGCCATTTTTTTTATCTAACACAATCTCACTCACGACCCAGCGCCTCAACCGCTCGCGATCGATGGAGACATGTGAACATGACTATAAGAAGGTGGCAGTATTGAGTACTTCAGTACAGAGAAGCCGCAATACTTTTACTTTGGAAATAGTAAATGGATTCCAGTCAAGGACCCATCATTTTAAAGCTTATAATGTGGAGAATATGAATATATTAAAAAGTCAATTCCAATATTTTTGTCACAGATGCTTGTTTTGGCGTGGTAAGCCCCATATCTTAACAACTGTTATCCTTTTAAAACCTATATTTACCTAGTGTCTTTTTGATCAGATAGAGCTGGTCCACATCGGACCTTCCAGGCCATAGCGGCTGGCCATTGCTCAATTCAGCCATCACGCACCCAATTGCCCAGACATCGACCGGCGGTCCATACTGGGTGTCGCCAACAAGTAGTTCCGGAGCTCTGTACCATCTCGTTGCTACGTAGTCAGTATACTCGTCACCAGGATCTGAAGTGACAGGATCGAAACACATTTAATATGAATTCATCATCCAAGAGATTAAGTTCCCAATCTAATGAATGAAAATTGACGGGTGATAAAAGCTTCATCTTAACAACCACAAAATAATAACAATAATGTGGTTATAACAGCATAATCTTCGCCCCAAGTCAAACAGTTAAAAATATAAATTACACAATTAAGTATCTAAGGGTAAACATGGTATAGAAGAATAACAATATTCGTCTTAATATATTTCATACGATCCAACAAGTGACAGTGTCTCCCTTCCATTTATGATTATATGTCAGCTAGTAACAAAAAATATCGTGTACCGTAAACTATAGGCCAATGTATATCTTCATTAGTTATGGTGTTTTATGTTAAGTGTGTGATACAGGCTACAAAAAAAGGTTGTAAAGTAAATTAATACCATATTTCACAGAGCACAAGACCATTAACAAATTTTCTTGATTCTATTTTGGAGTTGTGATACTGCAAGTCATACTTTAACCATTTTATTTTCTTTGATGAATGCAATAATTCCTCATTATCACCCTTTCTTTTTTTTTTAATGTAAAAAAAAGAACCCACAAAAAATGCATATTTTGTGTGTCCTTTCACAATTCCAATCATGAATAGTGATTGATGAGATTATGGATAAATATTTGTCGTTAAATTTGTCTGGAACCAGGATTCATGTAACAAAAAATGGGAATTAAGCATCTTATGTATTCTTGTCTCTTTCTAATTATATTCTGTAATATGAGCATGTTATTTATAGCTTGCAACTTCTAATAATACCTGTGTAATATGCGACCAATATTTTGCTCTGTGTGTAGTATATCTAATAATCATGTAATACAAGCACACATAAAACTGGCTCCAAAAATTATCTCATCTTTCAAATGTAAGATGCAACAAAACTATTCATAGCAACAACTTAATCCATACAATATATTTGTCAGGCATCAATTAGAGCAGGCAAGAGAACTTGGAGGAACGGAGAATAAATACTGGCATTGTCAAACCTTTCAAACAATAGGTGATGACAGTTGATTCTACATGAATAATTTAACACAAAAGTTCATGATCACAATACATGTACTATTTATTCACAGCAGATACTGCAGTGCAACAAAATTTCATAATGGATATGCTCATTACTGATGACACCAAATACCTCCTTTAAGAGCTTTGATATTTATGACATGCATATTGAATTTCTTATTAATCACAATTCATATCATATTTCATTGAAAATCATATAGATACATCAGATTTTCTTCTGTATAAAACCTTGACTACATTTGGTTAGAGTGTGTAAAAATAATCTAAATTATACAATCTTAATACTTAAATATTATTTCAATTCATAAAAAAATTAAAATTTCAGTGATATTTGACCAATATATTCCTGCCAAATTTGCTGACATCCGATGCACAAGACACATTTTAATAATGAATTCACATACTTTTTATGAATATTAGGGTACAATCGGCCTATATATTTTATCTTTTATACACATTTTTTTGGGGTGGCATAATACAAGCCAGACCTGGGACATAAAAGTCGATGTTAATGACTGATACTCGCGCATTATGCATGAATGTTGGCAGGTGTAACAATAAGTAAGATAAAGATGAACTTTATTGTTATCATATATGTTCAGTAGCGTACATAAAATAAGTATACAAATAAAGTATTCAGAAAGGATTGAACTTCAGAAAGTGAACTTAGTACTAGAAATTTACTATACAATTTCAATAATTTGATAACGCATTTGCTATAATTAATGTCAGACAGTAATGTGGTTCATGGTTATCTTTTTGATAGTTTTATGTACTCTTATATTTTCAATGTTCAATTATTAGATAGAAAACAGTGTTTAATAAATACACACTTTTTAAGGATGTCATTAAATAAATATATAAAGAGGTACAGTACAATATACTTGTAAAGTAGCGCTGATTGGTCTATACACTGCAGGCTATCCCCTACTCTTGCCGGAGTACAAAGTGTTTTAATACACTTTAAGTGTCATTAATTAGCTAAAGAATTTGCCAGCAATCTATTTTAATGGGATGGAATTTAAAGACGAGAGCTCCATTTATATTTAGACATGGTAGTACATTCTTGCTAAGTATTATGGGTCATCACTCATGTTACTGTAAACATTATAAATATAGCATTTCATCTTGTAATACGTGGTTACGAGATTATTGTGATCAAACTTCCAAAATAATAAAAAATGCCATTCCCTAAAGCCTTGGAATAAAAGTTTATAGGGTATCATTTGTTTCATCCCTTAATAGTGTGTTGTTGAATCTGAAACAAATAAAAAAAAAAAAAAAATTCAAAAACAGAATTTATAAAGCCTTATTTCTGCTTTTGGACCCCAATTATTAATAATCTATTTGGGAAAATTTAATGTTACAATTACATAGCTACCTACTGTAGTACAAAGAACACCTTAAAATGCATTTCCAACAAAATTTCAGTGAAGTGGTTAAAATAAGCTGAGCTCGCTGACGCCATACATCAACCCGAGGCATGGCAATAAAGATCTCCTACTTTGTAACTAAGCAACAACTTAGTCTCAAGATGATTTTCTGAGATGGTTTGAAGCACTGACCCCTTGACCCTAGAGCCTGTATCCTGGGTCAACACAGCTTTGTGTAGAAAATGACTTGTAAACAATGCAAGGGAGGAAGATCAAGAAAATCAATTTACTTTGCGCCTAATCTAAACACAAAATTAGTTATCAAGTTTATCATCTTGTCCATGCCTTGACAGGCTATGATAGGTCTTATTTAATAGGAAAACTTGTAGCTATCCTTCAAATTCTATAATGATTACATGTCCACTAGCCAGGATGTGTTTACCAGTTTTTAAAATAAAATAAATATTAACACCAATAGGCACAGATCTTCTAATAAGCTAAGATATAATTCATAATTACATCAATGGCGGTACAGTAGATGTCAATGATGATATTAACAATGATGATACAATTTGCATATATATTTCTAAATTTTAATTAATAAATACTGTAAACCTAAAATTCATTTGTAAAACCTAATATAATCCTGTACCTAGTATAAAAAAAGAAAATTACAAATTCTTAAAAGATACATAACAGATTAACAATCCATCTTTTAAAACGTTAAAAGTTATATTGGTAGCAACCATGTTGATAAAAATTGTGATCATGTGTTGATGACAGTTAAGAACATGCTTATGGTAGTGTTGAAAATGATAATGCCAATGAAGATAGGCTTCAAACAAACTAATAGTAGAATCTAGGTACTTATTTTTTCTTTACTCTTTTTTTTTGCACTCTTCATATCTTCCACATTTTGTCTGAATAATAATAATAATATCAATGATGATGATGACAGCATTAGCACTTGCAATAATAATGTTGATACTGATGATGATGACAATGATGATGAAGATGGTAATGATGATTATGATGGTGGTGAAGATGACAACATTGGTTACGTAGTGATACTACAATAATGATGAAGGATGATATTACTGTATGATAATGACGATGTTGATGATAATGATAATGTTGTTATTTATAATGGGGATGATAATGTTATTGATGATGATAATGAAGTTATTGATGATGGTGACGATGTTATTGATGATCATAATACTATTCATGATGATGATACTTATCATCATTTTGTTGACGTTGATGATTTGCTTTTTGGATATGCTGTTAATAATGATGATGACAACGATAAATATGAAGATATGATAATGTATGCTTTACATTCTGTGTAAATACTTTAATGGCTGTGTTTACTAAAATTTGTGTGTTGTCTTCCATACACATCGTCGCCACCTTTTTCTAAGAAGGCTGTCGTCACATAACACTGAAAGTACAAGCTGATTGGCAATTCTTTCAACAGTTGCAAATTTGTGAAACAGAAGTGGAAAAGTATTAAAAAAAATACTCTACAAAAATAAGCACCTTAATATCAAAAATGGAGCTGGGGAATAGTGGTGTGGGATTGCAAATCCACAGTAAACTTTATCAAGGAATTAAGGAAGTTTCAATATACAGAAAAAACTATTAATTTCAATTTCAACCATATCATTTTTATACTTTGTTTTATGAAGGTTGAAAACAATATGTCCTTTAAAGGATATGTCTTACCCAACACTACACAACAATTAAGTAAATTACATGCCGTAAATAAATAATTAGTACCAACTGTGTTAGATTGTTGTCGGCAACTCAAGTGCAAAATAGTCAAGACGATATTGGAAAGTACATGCGTGAATCAATATCATGTCTGACGATAATGACCGTTGTGCCGCTCTATAATTGGGTTAAGTACTAATGCAATTGCTTTATCTTTTTGTATCCACTGTATTATGTGCAGAAGCAATCAATTAATGAATTGTAACCATCAGAAATAGCTTTATTCATTGCAAAAAAAAAAAAACATCAATACTTTTAATTAAAAACATTTAGTTTACTTTTTAATATTATACTTTAACACTGTAACATTCATACTTGGGCTTTTGATGGGCTAATGCTCTTTATAATGGAAATTTCTTGATACTATTTCATTTTTAATGTACTTTTCTGATGCGTGTCATGCTTTTTTTGATGAAATTATTTTAAAATAAATTTGTTACCTACTTGTTTAGTATGCAATTCAGCACTGCTACAAAGAACATGACAAAACTATATTCACATCTATATTGTTATATTAAATTGTATATGAATATTTTAATCAACTAAGTTGATGAATGACATCAGAGTGTAGACAAGGATATGGCTAAATTATTAATACAAGTTTGCAGCTAATGTAGGGTGTATTTGTATGTACCGTAACTGGTCTTGTTTGGTAACAGAATTAGATGTTAATTACTGAAACTATATCTTATGATTGTATAGCTGTTGAAACTGGACCTAATTAAGCTAATCCTAAGACTATTCTAGAATGCCTATCTGTCTGTGTTTCACGTAACTCAGTGACTACACAACATCTATCCACTAGAGTATATCTATTAAATCAATAACTGGCCACACATATTTACTAATTGAAAATAATAAAAACAAATATCTTACAAACTAACAAGCTCATGAAACTGTTCCTATATCCTTGGCATAAAAAATATTCAATGTCAAAAAATGTTTTTTTAAATATCTGAAACGTTTAATTAATTATTTTGATCTGTATTTTATTTCTTAAAATTATTGGTATGACATTTTAGTGAAAGTTGTAGGAGTTTTATAATTTTAACCTATACAGTATATTTAACTGTCTTTTTATACAATAGTTCAGCCCTACAAATATACTTTTCAGTTAATCAATGTACATAATATTGAGTGATTTGGAATCCATCGCCATCTTTGACGTGGATATCTACGTATGACAATCATTTCGATTACTTTTATTGTCAAAACAGCCATTTAATCGGATGTTACCCCAGCAACTTGGATACAACATCATTAGTATGAGCAGAGCACAATGAAATTATAACAAGATTAAATAGGACATACTCAAACGTGTTTCAAATCATCGGCTCAGTGGGAAGCTGTATTAATAATACTGAAGGTGCTCAACAATTTACATCTACTTAAAAAATTCCTCCAAAATAGTTATTATTTTTTGTGTACAACCTAGATGTTGTAATCTAATCAAGAAATGTTATTGGAAAAAGTGTGTTAGATACTAAAATCTGGCCTTTTTATTTTTCCATTTATCAAATTTAAACCGTGTGTACTTTTTTATTCGTTCACATTTTACAAGGTTGTTATTAAAATGTGAAATGCCATGTGCCTTTGAGCAATTTTATGGAATGTTTAGTATAATTCAAATGCTTTTTGTATTTTATTATTAAATGGATTGTGGGTTTGCAAGTGTATATTAATGAAAATATTTGTTATATATATAGCAAATGCTAAAAGTCATGTGAAAAAAGATGTAGTTTGAATTTTAATTGTTCCCATATCAGGAGCAGAGAATTCCATAACTAAGAGGAAGAAATGAAAAAGGGTTGTTTGCTAATGTAATACTGCATAATTAACTCTGCCACTGTGTAACAATAAATTTCATTGCCAATATTCCTTTAATATGAACAATTACACAAATATACTTTCAGTAGAATTATTGTTAAGAGTATTTTCAAAGTATCAAAGTATATTTTATTTCACAAACAAAATAAGCAAGCTTTAATTGCGGGATCCTGAACATAAGAATGTATCCAATAAATAAATCTTAATTCAAAGAGATGACAAATCAAAATATAAAGTATAATAAAATATAATATATATAGAAAGAAAGCATTACACAAACAAAAACTTGCATTGTAAAAACAAGCAGAATGTAGATGGATTTAGTCTCTAAATGCATGTATTTTTCTGTAACTGAATCCAAAAATATTTGTCCAGATAACAAACTTACAACCTAATCTTTACAAATATAAAACTTCCTCGAGAATATCTCTATAAATATTGTAATAATTTTTATAACAAATAAGAAAACATTCAAAACTTCTGTGTTGACTTGAAATAAAGGTTGAACATTAAAGGAACTGTTCCACCCATCATCTACTTGAGATAACTAAAGGTTGAACATAAAAAGACTGTTTCATATCCATCATCATATTTATTTGAGATAACTAAACTTTGGAGATTAAGGTGACTTTTTCACACTTGTCCTCTTTATTTACTTGAGATAACTAAAGGTGAACATTAAAGGGACTGTTTAACACTCTTTATTATATTTACTTGAGGTAACTAAAGGTGGAACATCTTTCAGTTCAATTGTTCTGCCACTAGCGCCACCAATTTGTTGTTATCTACATCAATTTTCTAAATCATTTGTAAAAATGCAATAATAAATGCTACCTAATCCTGGGATAACGGTATGTATTAGAGAAAAAGCTTTTACACTCCAACTTCAATCCACCTGTCCTCTGAGTCTTCAATTGTAGTTTATCAATAATGCTCTCAACCAATCAGACTCAATAACAAAATATTGTTGAGAGCTACAGTTCGAGATAATGTATAGCATATTTCATCTTTCTTAAAATGTAAGTGAACAATAGCAATAACATATATAATAAATTCATGTGTAGATTATATGCAACAAAGTACTAAAAGAGCATTACCAATGTACCAGTATTGTAGGTTCCCAGTAGCTTACAGAGTGAGGTTGCCAGCCCCTTCCCTTTTAAATGCACCTACTTAGTGGGATAGGTGCTATCAAACCAGAAAGCACTTGTGTTCTGGGTTCATAATGAGCCTCTTGGACAAGAATATGACCTGCACTTCTGGTGTCATATCTTTTATCATGCGTACAACACTATAGTTTTAAAATCAAGGGTATGAGAGAATTGATTACTTGCAATGTTGTCATGCTGAATAGCACATGGATGTACCTTAGAGGCGCTTAGTAGCTTTATGTTCACATGAACTGCAATGAATTAACAAAGGGTTCTTTAAAGCGCACACAAGTCAGATGTGTACACTGTACCTCCCTTTTAAGTCCTTTCCGAGAAGACTTGGTTCTACGTCAAGCAAACCCTGTGCAAGAAGCGGCTCTAGTCAGCGCCAATCTTAAGGCTATACGGTAGTTAGCATCGCCCCTGCCTTACTGCTTGGCCAATTGACTCGCTTTATAATATATCAATTTATACAGCATTTACAACATAAAATTTCAAGGATATTTAGTAAGTTGATATGAATTATACATGGTACAGTAAAAATAAAAGGATATACTGTACTCACTGAGGATACGAGCAAAGCCAAAGTCACACAATTTCACAATGCCGTCCTTCGTCAGCAAGATATTCTCAGGTTTTACATCTCTATGTATACACTGAAATATAAAAATTAGGATGAATTATAATACCTACTTTTGTATGTAAACTATGTTTATAAATTATAATAACTACTTTTGTAAGTAAACTATGTTTATAAATTATAATAACTACTTTTGTAAGTAAACTATGTTTATAAATTATAATACCTACTTTTGTATGAAAACTATGTTCATAAATTATAATACCTACTTTTGTATGTAAACTATGTTTTTGCATGTATATATTTTTTGATTATCCATATGTATTCAGTCCTACTTTTTATAATTGCCCATGTGGGACGAATAAGAATTACTAATTGATCGATTGATAGATATCATGTATTATGACAAAAAAAAAAAAATTTCCAACCGTTAACTAACATTTTATCGTTTTCATGAAACCATAATCATAATCATTTGCTCTAATATTATTATCGACATCAAAATAATTGGCATTGCTATATTCACGACTATCATATTCACGACTACTAATACTATCATGATAAGCTCTGCCACAATCATCCCTACCATCGTCAGCAATGCCATATTCACCACTACCACCACCTTTGCATAATCACTGCCACCACAAGAACCATAGTCTCTGTGATATTTATCATTTGTACAATCACCACAACCAGCAAGGTAACTACCCTTATTATCATAATCACCACTACCACCAACATCATCTCCACCACAATCAGCACTAAAAATAACACCATCTTTGCCTTAATAATTCCCGAACCTTTGGCATACCCACCACAATCATTATCATGTATGGTTTGATTTTTTTGTATTTTTTTGTAAGGGGTTTTTCTTATAGAATTAGTATTTATTAATAATCCATTCTGACATTGAAAGGCAATGATAAAATATAAATTAATATCCTCTTTAAATAATTTATTGTCATCATTCTATTTCACATTTTATTCTTTATGATTATCCTTCAAATGTAGACATGATGTCTACCACTTACATTATGTGTATGACAAAAATTTACAGCTTTTAAAGTCTGGAAAATAATCCTCCTGTAACTATCCTCAGGCACACTAGAAAAAAAGAGAAAATATAAATATGTGGAATAGCAGCAAAAGCAGTCCAATTAAAGGACAGGGGTTCAAATAAAGATTTTCCCATCTACTTGGGTCCTTGGACAAGAATAATTATCCCCAAAAATCTAACTGCAATATATTATGCAGTATTCTCTCAAGGGTTTTAACCTAATGACTGGGATAATATTGTCATAGAATTGCCTATTAAAAAATTAAATACCATAGGTATCGGAGATTAAAACAAGTAAGTTTCTGCCTATTCCTCTAGGATGGTCAATGTTATCAAGAATATTTGCATTTAATGCATATTTCTAATCATAAATCAGTCTGTATATTTTTAGTCCAAGCTTTCCTACAAATGTTGTTTGTAGCCTATCATTTATGATGCCAGAGTTTGAATGTATACCAGCTTGACATTTGGAAAATGAAGAGAAAATTTAATTATCATTGATGATGAGCAGCAATTAAAACTACTGCCATTATATAACGATTCTTCATTATTTTACGTAACTAGTACAAATGATATTCAAAGTCTTAATAAAATTTTGTTTAGGTCATCATCAAGGGGTTAATAATTGAAAATATGAATTATCACTGTTCATTGTAATTTATTCATTAGTTTTCCTGAAATGAATGTTCGGAAGTTGATGTAATGGTGTACAGTGTAAAGTTGATTAAAAATATTAATTAAAATAAGTAACAATTCTCATCAGATAGTGATTATCAAGTATAAAGTGCTACGCCACTTACGTCACAAGATCATCATACGATTCCTCGTTACTGAGCAAGGATAACTAATATATCCCGAGTTTTCATGTTTTAATTATATTTCTAATTGTTAATACATTACTTACCCATTAGGATGAGTCTCTAGCTCATTCAATACTGTGTGTTCACAGTATTCAAACACCAAGTGTAACTTTCGTTTCCTTCTGAAAACTTCTAGTAAGTTCACTAAATTTTCATGTTTCAATTGCTGGAAGAAAAAAAAAAACCAATAATAGTTTGTACATTATATTTTTGGTAAAATGCAATAAAATGTATTTCCTTTGGATTACATAATCATAATATTGGTATATTTTCTTCAAGAAATATTTAGTGCTTTCGATAGCACAATCACAGATTAACCATACAAAATATATAGCAACACCAACCAAAATATAATGACTACTACTACTACTACTCGAGTACTATTCCCTCTTGGAATGTTCTGACTGGATTTGTAAGTAAGCATGATGCTGAAACAACAGATTAACAATATTAAAACTCAATCCTTCTCGATTCAACTTCAACAACAGTTGTTTAAGTCCAAATGGTGGGGAGGGGGGAAACAGTTACTCCTCCCAGCTGCAAAAAAAAAAAAGACCTAGGAAAAACCCCTC